TCCCTACAAATTGAGTTCATTTGATAACTAACCATCTCTACTTGTTTTTCATTGGGTTCTTTTACAGGGTAGTAGTAGTGTTATAGGAATAAATCTCCCATTATTTGACATCAAGGAGGACATAATATGTACAAGTGAAAGAGCCTTCGAAAGAATGTCTAATCTCCAATTTCTAAGAGTATATGGTGATAACGACAGATTGTACTTTTCGCAAAATCTGAACTCTATTTCTCGGAAACTTAGATTACTTGATTGGAAGAGTTTTCCGATGACACGTTTGCCTTTGAATTTTAATCCGGAGTTCCTCGTCCGACTATACATGCAGGAAAGCAAGCTTGAAAAGTTGTGGGACGGAATTCAGGTAAGCAAAAAGCAAAAAAAAATTATTTAACATTTTATATATGTTATATTAGATTAATCTCGAATTTGTAAATTTGTTTTATGGTATGTTTTTCCCGAGAAAACAAAATGATTTAAATTACGTACCGTTCACTGATAACTAATCACTAACTGTATCAATATGTTCTTGTATTTTGGCTTTATCTGGACGTGTGTACAGCCGCTTAAATATCTGAAGTCGATGGAGTTGAGTCATTCCAAAAACCTGAAGGAGCTTCCTGATCTTTCAACTGCCACTAACCTGGAGTTATTGCTTCTCAATGGATGCTTAAGTCTAGTGAAACTCCCCTCCTCCCTCGGGAATGCCACCAATCTCAAAAGATTAGATCTCAGTAGATGCTCAAGTCTTGTGGAGCTCCCCTCCTCTGTCGGAAAAGCCACTAATCTTTATAGTTTGCATCTTACTGAATGTTCAAGTCTTGTGGAGCTCCCCTTCTCAATTGGGAATGCAACTAGTCTCAAAGATTTGAATCTCACTGCTTGTTCAAGTCTGGTGGAGCTCCCTTCCTCTATTGGGAACCTTCATAAACTGCAGAGGTTGAATATGACAGGATGCTCAAAGCTAAAGGTTCTTCCGATCAACATCAACATGCAGTCTCTCTATGAACTTGATCTCAGTGATTGCTCGCAGTTGAAAAGTTTTCCTGAGATTTCGACTAGTGTGACACTTCTCAACCTCCTTGGAACTGCAATAGAAGAAGTGCCTCCCTCGATTAGGTCATGGCCTCATCTTCTGCGGTTGGGTATGTCCTACTGTGAAAACCTCAGGAAATTCCCGTATACTCTTGAAAGCATCACAGAGCTTCACTTGAGCGATATAGAAATAACACTGCTTGGTCCATGGGTCAAGGATTTATCTGGTCTACGTCGACTTGTACTAAACGGAATGCGGAAGCTGGTAGTTCTCCCACAACTTCCGGATTCTCTCCTGTTCCTAGATGCAGAAAATTGCGAGTCTTTAACGAGCCTAGATTGGTCATTTCGGAATATAAATATTTGTCTCAACTTCATTAACTGCTTCAAACTAAATGATGAAGCGAGAAGTCTCATCATCCTGACATTAAATCGTGCTGCAGTGTTACCCGGTTGGATAGAGCCCTACTTTCGCCAACCTACTAGAGGTAACTTAACAGTGAAGTTGGATGAGAGGCCTCTTCATTCATCCTTGAGACTTAAGGTTTGCATCTTACTGGTTAATAAGGTTGAGCATGGGCCTCGTTTTTCGTGCATGCATTTGTTCTATAGGATCATGGAGAAACAGAATGACCTCACTGTTCCATACAAGCTGGATAACCAATGTCTACCTCGCGCTGTAACGGGGCATTTGTACACCGTTGAATTGGAAGTAGAAGTGACTTCCAAGGAGCTTTTCTTTGAGATCAAACTTAGTGGTGACAAATGGCCTATAAAAGAATGGGGGGTAATCCAACTCTCTTAAGTGGATGCGCATTTTTATGTTGTTTTTTTGTTTGTGCATAATATGTATTATTGAATTTACAGTATGTGGATTATGTGTGTATGTGCATAATATGTATTATTGAATTTACAATACGTGGATTATGCGTGTATGTCCATATAATAGTGATGCAGTTCTTCTATACATTCATCATCAAGCAAACAATTTCTTGCTCAACATAATTCTATACATTCTTTGGTGAAGAGGGAGCTTAATTATGTAATATGCAGGTGGTAATATGTATAACTCTTTGAGGTTTCGAAGTCGGCCCCAAGAAAAAGACTTCATTCAGATAGGAAATGTAGACAAGCACCGATGCTAAATCTTAATGTCTATCTATATCCATTTCCCGATAGGCTTTTCAACACTACGTAGGATTAATACTAATCTTTCAGACAACGTTGTTTCATAGGTATCCTAATGCGATAAAATCTGAGTGCATTGGATAACCATAGATGAGAAAAATCTACTATTTAAATTTGAGTGCTTTGGATTTCAGGGTTCATTTTAAGGTGAAAAGCAAGTACTTCAACAGTTTTACATCACACGCATTTAAACGGGTCCACTAGTGACATCGAGATATGACACAAACAAGAAACCAAATTCGACAGAGAAGCCAGTGCAGGGACGAAGATGAGTAGGCAAAATCACAGGAGCTTACTTCCTTTTTAGTTCGGTCTCATACATTGATTTTAGGTTCTAATACATTTTGCTTCTGAATGCAACTTTTTCCTTTTTGAGTTTTGCTTC